ACATTTCTTAACCCTCTTACATGTTAAGTCAAGTAGTATAGCTTTACTAAGACCCTGTATTGCTATATTACAATATTGTTGTTATATTCTATATATTATATATTAATTATGTTACTATATATTATATAAAATATACTATTAATTAATCAAATCATAGAGCTAAATTTAGTAAATTGATCCATCTAAAAAACTTTACAACAGGTGGGCCGTATATCACCTGAGTGAAACCCGAATCAACTAAAAAGTCTTTCATACAGGTCACTCGTCGGATAGACTATATGTCACCTGTTTAAAATTAGATGAAACAACTCAAAAATCTTTATTCTAAACTTTTGCTCATCTTTTATATTCCCCGACTATCGAAGCCTTCTGATCGTAGACACAAGTCCATGGGTCACCCGTAGGGGTAACCTGCGGGTTGACCCGCAATATCCCAATCTGGGTTACCCACCTACCCACGGGCAGAGTTGGCAATGGAGCCAATGGAGCTCAATGGTTGTACGAATGGAGCTCAAAAAACTGGTATCCATTGGCTCCATTCAAAGCTCCATTGGTTCCATTCGCAACTCCATTGAACTCCATTGCCAACCCTGCTCACGGGTGATCCGGGTAATATCCACCCGGATAGATTAGCGGAGAAACAAAAATTCAGCAGACCGGCCCGAATTATGGGTCGGAATGCTTAATTTTGCCCAAGATCACTCCAAATTTTACTAATGAAATCATAGCCCACTAAGCAAAGCTGCCCAGATGATAATTTCGGTGTAATACAGTTAGTTGTTATTTCTTAATGCCGGCCTAAATCCGACCCATAATTCGGGCCGATCTGCTGAATTTTTGTTTCACCGCTAATCTATCCTACCCACCCAGGTCAATTACTAATATGTAATATATATACTATTCATTGTTACTGTAATTTTATAAAAAATTTTTAAAAATTTTTGTAAAATTTTAGTAAAAGTATACAGTAGTAAAATAGTAGTAAAATATTGTACATAATAGTAAGTAGTAGGAGTTCTAATGTTGCTAAATTGGCAGTTTCTATAAAGTTCTAAATTGTAAAATTTTTAATTTACTCAAATTTATATATATAAAATATTCTTATAAAAATAAATCTATATATGCAACTTTAATTAATAGCTTAAAGTTTACCATGGTGAGTTTTGCGTTATTCATCCGAATTTTCAGAGCTATCCAAGTGACAACGCCGAACGTGCCGAAATAAAACATAATTATTATAGATTAGGGTCACCACGAAATCTATATACCGATACGTAGATTAATTTTACCCTTAAACATGGTAAAACTAATTTTATTAAAGTTAACTAAATTTAACTTTCTATAAGCGACTGCAATGTTGTGTTTTTTTAAATTAATATGGTTTCAACCAAATTTGTTATTTGTTATCACGTTGCGTGATGGCTGAAGTTTGGTAAGTTTAAAGTTTTGGTGCGACAGAATATTTTAGGATTCAAGGCAATAAGATTTCATGGGGCATCACTATCGAAATTGGTACGTACGTACGTACGTACGTACCTAAGTTTGCAGGGTACATTTTGTTTTATTACGAAATAAAAGCAAAGCTGCATGAAATATTGAACTAAATGAATGAAAATGCAAAATTGTATAAATTGAATTTGGCAGCCCTTGTTGTCTAAATCAGGGACACAGACTATTGGTAACCAATCATATTATATGAAAATCTGATTCATCGATTGGCGGCCAAAACATCTTGTCTACATTTTAACAGCTTCTAAGTCTCTCAGGGGTACCAGCAACTTGAAAAATAGGACCCCCTGTTGCGTTCGCACAATTTTCATAACTAATATTCCAAAGATGCAACAGTCACCTCTCCAGCACGAAAACCCACAAACCAACACGATTTCGTTGGAAGTTAATTCTACACAAAACGTCCAAACACCTTTAACTCCACAGACACGCGATCCGACTTACCATGTAATTGCTACGTCTTCTCAACTTAATGCCCAACTTAGCACTCAGCGGTCTCCGTTCGTCGTAGAACTTACCGCTTGCGTGCCACCAGCTGGAGCTTCAACTGCTGCATCGGAAACTGTTGCAACACCAGTGACAAAAAATTCACCAAACACATCAACGTCTGTATCGCAGAACATTAAAGGTCCAGACATTTTTTCTCACCAAGCAACATTTCCTATTCAGCAGACGCCTTTCAAACATCCTAATCCTACCCAACCGGTGTCTGTAGTAGCTATTTCTGCTCTTTTAGAACCTGATCAGAGGACTGAAGAGCTTTTGGGTGCTTTGTCTATCGAACAGCTAACGTCAATTGAAAATACTGTAAAACGAGTAAAGAAAAAAAAAACCAAAGAATTAAAAAAACACACTAATGATAGCACCGCTAACAGCGGTCTTAGTAATAATCCAGCTACTCATGCACGAGTCGAGCATTCGGTACCGAACACGAACACAACTCCAATGTTAGCACCAAACCCTCTGCCTTCACCTGTTAACCCTAGTACCACCTTATCTTTTGTTTCATCAAATGTCAATAACAGAGTTCAGGTACAAGATCAACAAATTCATCAACAGCCTAATCCCGACCACCAACAGAATCGTACACAGCAACGGCCAGTGCAACAAACACAAAATCACTCAAGCCAACCGCAGCAAAAAATATCACCTCAAACACAAACTACCTCAAAGCAACAAACGTCAGAAATATCTACTCGACCTCGACGATCTGATGTTCCTATCACTAATCCAAATCCAAATCATGCCCTTCCAGCAACAGATCCAATTATCGAGGAGTTTGAGGGCGTGCAATGGGTTGTTTTTACATATTCGGTTAAAGGCAACAATAAAGAATACCGTATACGGATTGATGTCGATAAGGTTAACCTTGATGAGATCGATGAACAGTTTAGACATGATAATTGTCTTTATCCAAGAGCTAATTGTACAGAGGACAAGTACCAAGGTAATCGGTGGTCATATGAAAATGAATGTAATGCTTTAGGATGGAAATTGGCTTGGCTTAACCAAGAAGAGATTAGCGGCCGAAGAGGACTACTTCAAAGAGCAGTAGATAGCTTTCGAAATCGTGATCCTTCATTACGTTCTCGGAGAGTTGTTCGGAATGAAAAGATTATGAATGGAACACTACGTAAGAGAGTCACCAGGGATAACGACTCTTGTGATGCTTCATCTGAAATTTCCGCCAAACGGCCCCGCGGTGCGAGTAAACAGTTGACAGTAGAATATACAGTGAAAGAAGAGACTACCAAAATTCGTATACGTGCTGATGTTGAGTGTGTAAATTTGTCTGAAATCTCGGATGATTTTAAAAAAAATAACTGCGTATATCCTAAAGCTGCTGTTGCAAAGGCAAACTATCAAGGAACAAACTGGGAATATGAGTCGGCATGCAATGAATTAGGCTGGAAATTGGTATTATTTTTTGTTTTAAATTATCAATTTATATTAAGTCATATGCGAAGCGAATGTCTGACCTTGTTTTACTATAGACTCACTTGAATTCTACGAAACTTAATGGAAACATATTACTCCTTCAAAAAGCAATAGACACGTACTACGCAAAATACACTTCTGACTCTAAACCTCGTCGAGGAAGATATTCGCATACCCTTTCATCTAAATTCTTCGAAAATCATCCTCGTGAAGTGAGTTCGGATGCCACTACGTGTGCGGCGACATCATTACCAATGAAAGAAACTAGCCATCAGACAACGTCAGTTATTGCACCTGATACCATGGTTGTACTAACTCCTTCCGATTCTAAACCAGCAGTGATATCAACGGGAAAAACGGAGGATTTAAATATTATTGCAGAAGGTAATCCATTGGAAATTAACAAAGAGTAGATTTTTATAATATTATTGCCACCAGCCATTATCCTATAATATTTCAAAGAATAGTAGCATATAGAGTTTGATGGAACGTATATACATGTTTGTATAGTGAGAATTGCGTATTACTAGATTGAAACTTAAAAAAAGTCGTAAAACGTTAAAAGCGGATTTTCCAATATAATAACGGGATTGTTGAGGTTAGGAAATAAATTTTGTAGTACAACGCGATCTCGCCAATTTGCCATAAATAACAAGAAATTAAAAGTAGGGAGGAGACAGTTTATTTATTAAAAATAATCCATAAATAACAAGAAACTAAAAGTGGGTAAAAGAAGTTTAATTATTAAGACATTAAAAGGAAAG